AAAAAAATAAAATAAACATTAACCATTTAAAAAAAAATAAACCTTTTACCTGCTCCCAATCCCAAACAAATGATATGATTCTATGCAGGTGCATGTGTTTGGAATGCACAGAAAAGGGACAGGAAGGCAACGTCACAAATGGATAGCACGGGTATATGCAGGCAAGGGGATGGAATGGGGCTGAGAGGGCTGGAAGAGGCGCTTCTGTGCCATCTGTTTTTGCTTTTCATTGTTTGGCTCTGTGTGTGTGTGTGTGTGTGTGCGCGCGTGCGCGTGTGCATGGGGGGGGTACTGGGGGTTGAATTGAACTCCAGAATCCTCTACAATTGAGCTAGACCCAAGCTTTTTATTTTTATTTTGAGACAGTGTCTCAGTAAGTTTCCCAAGCTGGCCCTTAATCCTTCTGCTTCAGCCTGACAGGTAACTGAGATCCCAACCATGCATCACTACACTCAGGTCATCGTTTGGCCTTTTAATATAGATGGATCTCATATACATTACTTGTATAACAACAGAAAATAAAGCATGGAAAGCTATTAAAAATACTGCTAGGGGCTGGAGAGATGGCTCAGTGGTCTAAAGCACCTACTTGGAACAAGCTTGGCAAAGCACAGGGACCGAGGTTCCATCCCCCAGCACCACATGCCAGCCAGCCGCGCCCCCTGGTGGGCTGAGCTGGCCACACACACACACACACACACACACACACACAAAATGTTTTTTTAAAAAATTTTTAAAAAATACTGCTAAAATTAAGTGTGGATCTTACTGTCTTCTTCAGTCCTGGGAGTGAAACCCAGGGTCTTATGCATGCTAGACAAGCGTTCTATCTATTAAGCCACACTTCCAGGCCTTCGTGTGGATCATGGAAGCCTAAGACAATAGGTATAAAAGGTCAGATGGTTCTAGAAAATAGTAACTAGAAACAATTGCAGGAAAAGACTTTGTCAGCAATATTTGCCTATTATTTTTAAGCCATTATGCTTAGTACTGAGGATACAAAACAAAATAACCCAAAAAACCAAAGGAAATGTTAGCTTTCATAAAGAGAAATTATGGAGTGAGGAGTACAACAGCAGGACACAGACAAGTTCTAGGGAACCTCTAGGTCGGTCCTGAGCCAGAAGCAAGAGCCTCTTTCACATGGTCCTAGGCTAGGCTCTTTAGGAACCATCTTAGAAAGAGCAGAGTCCTTGGAAAAGCCTCAGGACACACAAACCTGAACTCCCTCCAGAACGCGTTCACTTTCCTAAGGTGAAGCTAATGTCCAGAGTCTGCATCTTCATTAAGTCACCTGCATGAGGAGCCCAGGATACCACCACTCACCAACTAGCATGCCCAGGACCAAAACTGGGGCAGCATGCTGCCTCATACCCAAGAAGGCTCCACGAATGCTTAATTCAAATAAAGTGATTTTCTGTCAGGGCCTACAAAGGAGACACACATCCGAAGCTGGGATGGAAAGCAGGTTATTTCCATTTTTAAAATTATGAAAATGTAGGGGAACATGGGGCTACTGGGGAACCTGATCTGAAAGAAGATTCCCTCGGGCCTTTCACTGCCTTGCCGGTGGGGAATACCGGTTGCTATGCACACAGTGGCCTGGGAGGCAGGGCTATAAGACATCCTTTCTCAGGTGGGGCAGGAGCCCCAGAAACAGGTCTCCTTCAGCCTGGCCCCTAGAAGTGCAAATGAATGCCGGGAGCCCAGAGGCAGCTCAGTGGCTGAATTCCCACTCCCTTCTAAGCAGAGAATGGTACTAGCATCTAGCTCCAGGGATCAGAGACAAGAAGAAGGAGGGCTTCCACTGCTACCTGTCTAAAAAGGAAGCTAGTAACCCAAGAGGGAGTCATACTTCACTCTCACACCTCTCCTCTCTGAGGTCTTCTTCCCATGATCAAGCGGAAACCCCTTCCCCAAACAAGATTAAGGTGTTTAAAGAGCAGGAAGGTGGACAGCATTGAGTGAGGCTTTTCCTCACTACCTAGGGAGACCCAAGAGAGCTCAGGGTGGCCAGTTCACAGGTTTGAGGAAGAGAAGCACTAGGGCAGTTCTCTCAGCCTCCACACACCAGGCCCTCAGAAGCACCCAGAGCTCAGAAGGATGAACAGCCCTTGGTCACCTGGAAAAAAAAGGCTCGTCTGTGTTGTTCCTGTAGGGTCTGCTTCAGCTGCTCCACATCGCTCTCCAACTTCAGATACTCATTCCAGGAGTTTTCCATCTCCTGTTGGCCAAGGAAAAGCTGCTGGTCCCACCTCACCAACCCACCTCCCTGACCCCCACCCCCAGCCGTCTTGAGACTTCTATAGACCTAGCCAGAGGGGGAGAGAGGGAAGATGGCCCAGTGAGCCTCAGGCAGTCCTAATGGGGAAGAGACAGAAACATGAGGGAGTGTGGCATCTGACCCTTCTAAGCAGAGAATGATACTAGCATCTAGCTCCAGGGATCAGAACTGTCCCCTCTTCCACCTAGGGATGCTTCAAATCCCTGCTCTAGCAAAACAGCCCATACCATTTGAGACTAACTTATGAAAAAGTGGAAATCCTAGTGTCTTAAAATTAACTGCACACAAATCAGAATAGAACTTATGGGCTTCTCTGAGAAATATAGTCCCATGAGTGCCCAAGCATCACTGATGGAAAGTAGCCTAAAACACAGGTTGAGAAAGACATGTCACCCCTGAACAAGCTGCTATCAGGAGGCAGGCTAGAGAGGTTCTGCTACTTTAAGACACTTGTACCTGGCCACCAACTCCACTACCACTACTGGGGAAATGAGAATGCAGCCCATGGCCAGCCTGTCCCAAGGGAGAGATGTGCCCTTCACAGCCCACACGCACAGTGGACTCTCTGGAGAGCTCAGCTCGGATGTGCACGAGGTCCTCCTGCAGCAACCTCTGCTGGTAGGCAATCTTCTCCAGGTGCTGCGGCTGCTCTCGATACTGCTCCATCTGTCTGTGTAACACCTCCAGCACGGATTCCAGCTGATCCTATGCCAGGGAGGGGCCAACAAACAACAGGATAGGGCATACTCCCAAAGGCCTCCCCATACCACACCTGGAATCAAAGCAAGCTTCTGGATCTAACCCACACAGAAGGGGCCAGAGCTGCACTGGGAGCTGAAGAGCAGGGCCCTGACGCCAGCAGTGACTCTGTCCACGGGATAAGGCTCCTAAACTGTGAGGTGCCTCCATTTCTTCACCTATAAACTAGTGTAAAGCCATCAAACTCCTTATGGGATACACTATGAGGCTAAATCAAGGAGTTGGTGGAAAACTTCGCAAGCTCTTTGGGAAAAAACATTATGTTGTAAACCTTCAGCATTAAAATAAAATGCACAAAGAAAAAAAAAATCTCCCTTTAAGAGTCTAAGAGAGCCAACAGTACTGGCCCGAGGCCCATTCCTGTCCTCCCAGCAAGACTGGCTGCCTCCACAGCCCAGCTAGGGTAGGAAAGGAGATATAGGAAGTGAGGGTCTCTCTTGTGAGGACTACAGCCTAACAAGGCAATTTCTTCCCAGGGGTTCAGGTGCCAAGCACTTCTCACAAGGGGTACAGAGCTCCCCTCCCAAGGCCACAGCAGACTAGGGCAAATGGAGGAGGAGGAGGAATTGGAACCAGCAGGCGAGGGCATCCCTATATGTGATACCCCACTTGTTCCTCAGGCTCAGAAACCCCCAAGAAGAACTTCTGAACAAACTGCACTGCTATGGACAAACCAGCATCTATTGTTCAATACTAACAGGAGAACCTAAGCAATGTCTTAGGAAAGAGAGGGCACAAACTGTCCCTCCACCCAAACCAAAATGCTGCAAAACTGATGCCTACTTTGTTTTCCTTCAGGGCTCGAATCTTATCTTCCAGGTCCTGGAGGATTCTGTCTTGTTCACAAAAGATGCTCAGTTTGACCTATAAGCAAGAAGAGGTTTGGGAGGGCCCAGGAGGATGACAATAGGGCATGGTCTCGGGAGTGGGACCAGAAAGCCTCTGGCTACAGGACCATTCAAACCCTGCCAGAAGCTGCCCCACTCAGCCTGGGGCACAAGGCAGCTGTGGGGTCAGTCACTCTGCTCACTTACATCAATGTCACTCTCAGCAATCTTCACAGGCTTCAGGCTTCGATCCTTGAGATGGTCCCGGCCTGTCATCTGGGAGGTGAAAAATGTAAAGAAGACTTACTCGAGGCATTTGGAATCATAACTCAGGAAGCAAAGTTACCCCTATGCTGGATGGGTGTGAAGTCTCAAGGCATGAAAGGGACAAAAACTCAAAGCAGTATCTGCTTTATTTCTACACCTCTATTTCATTTTAGAAAGAAACTAAAATCTTTAGTGATCCTAGTAGCACTTACAAATTGTCAAATTTAAGAAAATGTAAATGTTCAAGTTATAAGAACAATTTTTAAAGCATATATTTGTTCAAAACAAGTGTAGAGTCAGTATGAATCTTGGAAGATTTGCTACTGGTAAGTTTTCTACTAAACACAGGGACAAACAGAAGTCTCTCACCCCCTTCCCAGGTCCTGGGGAAGGCAGGCCAAAGAGAGCAAGCAAATCCTCTGAGCATTCTCAAGCCTCAGTTTAAGGACGTCTCTGAGCAGCCCTGATCCGCACATATAAGTCTAGTATTTCTTACCCAATACTATTAGGGAAGAAGGCCTGAGTAAGGGAAGAAGGAAGTTAGATAATTCCCAGCTGAGGTTCTTGTTGATTCCTGATTAAGGCAAAACTGTATTTTTTTAAAGTTATAATCTACCTCACCTTTTTAAGAAAGGAAACTACAAAGAAACACAAAATTCACCCAAACTCAGGGATCAATGGGATTTCACACTTCCCATCCTTAAGCCAACTCACAGTGGGTAGCATGTTACTCATCTCTCGCTGAATTCTAGGAAGCTGAATCTGACTCTTCATTCCTTGCTTTCCTTTCCCCCCAAGTCTCCTTGCCAAAAGCTGTGCAGGGGTGGCTTTTACACAGATTTATCCCCACAGTTAGGACAAAGCCAGAAGACTCAGGTCTAATGCACCTCATGTAGAGAAAAGAATATCATCCTGACTTCCATTTGCAGATATGACTAGGGGAAAGGGAGAGGACTAACTACAGAAGAGACGGGCAGTATGTGTGCTATGGAGAGAAGGCCTTTGCTTTCTCTCCACACCATCTGGAAGTCTTGAGTGTGACCAGGAGTTAAAATATGGTAGCGGCCATTCCCCTTGGAGCTCAAGCTATTCACATGCCCAGCTGTCCTATGAGCCTTCCTGAAATTCAGCAGCGGCAAATTCAAAGGTCAAGGTCAAAGGAAAATAACTTCCTCACGCTTTGGGCTGTGGAGTGATTCTGACCTACAGAAGCAAACCACATTTCCAGGATCTCTCTGGTCACACAATGAAGAGCAGGGACCACTGGTGTACTTAGCGTGGCACAGCCTTGAGTATAAGGCCTGGAGCGATAACAGCCACTCAGCAAATGCTTACGCAGAGGAATGTAGGTCAAAAGGAAACGTGTAAGTTAGTGGAAGTTCCTGGAAAGAGCAGAACTCCAGCCAAATTTGGTTTCTCAAACTGGAAGATCATGTACACACATGTATATACACAACTGTAGAACAACAGACTCCTGCAACAATCCACAAACAGTGCAGTATCCTGAGATGGAGGAGAGGAGTGGGAAAAGGAGGGCACAGAATTAATCCTGGTGATACACAAACAACTGGACTCTTCAGCAGGATGTGAGCTTTAAACTCAGGGAAACCCAGGAGAACTAGCAGGTGAAAGTGGAGAAGTCTTCACTCTAGGTCATAAACTGGGGACAATGGGTTTGTCTGTTTTCTCCAGTGGACCAATCCTCGGCTCATATCCTAGGTAAACACTTTCAAAATGAGATATGCTTCAGGATTTTTTTTTTCCTCCAGGCACAACTCTTCCCCTTATTTGATTGAAGGTTTTCATGGAGGATATATTTTATTTGATGCTTAAATAACAAGGCAGAGAATCTAACTGAGCAATGCCTCATCTATCTAGCACCATCAAGAAAGAAATGAGATATTCTATATAAAAAGGGCACTTTGAGAAAGCTGTATTTTCTAAATTAAACTCTTAATAAAAAGCTTTCTAAATGCATGCCCTTCACTGCCTTCCTAGAATATTAAACATATATCCAACCCCCCTCTTGGGATATTAGCATGCCTTTTTTAAAGAAACTGGATTCCTCTTGGCCCCTATTAGTGTGCTGCTTAGAAAGTATTGTGAATTAGGCATCCAAAGTGCTCAAAAGCTCCACAAAAGTGACGTACTTAGCTCTCTCTTCCCACTCAGACTGGCTCTGGTGCTCTTCGGGGTACTCCTCCCACAGCCTGGGTCTGTCACTGCTGTGGTGCTTCTTTTTTTTTTTTTTTTTTTTTGTGGCAGAACCAGGGATTGAACCCAGGCCCTTGCACTTGCCAGGGAAGCACTTATTCCACTGAGCCATCTCCCCGGCCTGCTGTGGTGCTTAGTGCAGTAGAGTCCAAGCTTCTGCTTGCTCATGTCTCTACCCACTAGAAAGCAATCTAACGAAGGTGCCTAGAGAGACTAGGATGTATTTCTCTGTGTCCTCCAGGTCCAGACAAGAACTAGCATATTGAAGATATTTGCAAAGTGCTTGCTTAGTGAGTTCATGAATGTATCAAAATCAAAGGTCAGCTCTGATTCCTATGGCGCAAAGACCACAGGCTGTAGAACAGGGTTTTCTGATAGTTGTTTACACAGCTCAGAGGGTTTAAAACTTCCAAATTTAGCTCTGTTCCAGAGAACAAAGGCTACTAAGAAATGTTATATCTGTAAGTAGCAGATTAGCTAAGTTTCCTTTTAAACTTGTGCTTTGTGATAGCAGTGTTTAAGTTCACTTAAGAAATCAATGAGTGCCACCACCATCTTTGTTTCGAGGAAAAAGTGAAAGTCCATGGGCATTTATCCACTGGAAAGAAACTGTCTCAGAAGAGACTCAAAGGCCCTCTGAGCATCTTTCCTGCCTTTACCACATCCCAACACATGGTCTTGGGGCTCAGGATGGCTAGATACAAACACATGCACCCCACCTGCTGCTTCCATTAGAATGCTGCAAAAGCCAGCTGCATTACAGTCCCTAAATGCTTGTGTCAGTGAAAGGAGGCATGAAGTAACAGGTGTCCTAGTCTAGCTCTGGGCTATTATCCTAATATCAAAAGTCTGCCCCAGGTCAAGGTAATCTGACTTGGCCTCCCTCTAGGTGGCCAGTAACTGGTGCTCCCTCCCAAGAAACTCATGTTCATCCCTGTCTGGGTGTGCCCAGGCCACGGAGGCAGACAAGTGACAATGGAAACACAACATGAGCAGGTGGCAAGCCAGGCAAGCCCCCCACCCACTTGTAGCACAAAAAATGGAGTCACAGAACACCACAGATGAGCGGCCCAGCCTGGTGCATCAGCCACAATGCTGAAGAGAGCTAAATTTTAAAGAAAATAAACCGAAATGACTTGCGGGAAGCCTGGGGCGATCAGGAGAGCAACTGGTTAAGCAAGTGATGGAGCCGGCACTGAGCCAGAAGCAATGGAATGGCCCCGTTCGGAGACACAGATCAGATCATCTTACGCTTCTCCTGGGCCGACAGCCCAGTGCTGACTTCTTCAGCACTTTGTAAAGCACGTTGATCAAAGGTTCATTATTTTTAATCTGTTCCAAACAAAAAGGCAAAATACAACAAAACGTAACAGGTGAGACATTAAACAACACTTGAAGCAGCCAGATTTGGGCAGGTGGCAAAGGGGAAACCTTAAGGAGGATGTGTACAGCACAATTAAAGTGAACCTTGGTGATTCTGCGGGGTCCCAGCTGCAGCACCTTTCTGGACTCTAGTTCCCTCCTCTGTAAACTGGGGGACCTTCAGCTCTCAGTGAGGGGATCATGTGTAGGCTGCCTGTATGGGAGACCCATTTCAGTGCCCACTTCCCCCCCCACCCCCAGTGCTGCCACAGCAAGCAGAAGAACATTATTGCAGGCAAGTCTGCGCCTTCCTTGCCCACACTCAGTCATCAAAGCTTTGTTTAGAGTGGTGCTAGGCAGCATCAACCTCACCACCAATCCGCACTTTCACTTTCTGTCCCTTACCGGCCCCATACAACAGAATTTCCATGCCAGAAACACCATTTAAGACAACTCTGAGGTGGCAAAGCATATGGTATATTAAAAAAAAGGAGTGAATTCAGTCCCTGCCACGTACTCTGTAGAAGTTACTTCTCTCAGACAAGTAACATTCCTGGTTAGGGAGACAGGTATAATTTCTATGTTCAAGGTTGCTCAAGGATTACATAGCATCAATGAACACTAGTTATGCCCAAACACAGGGCCAGTCAGGAGCAGATCTTGACCAGTGGGGAGTTCTTTTCATCCTAGCACCACCAAATGAAATGCCCAAGAAGTAAATGCTCCTCCTAGTTGCATTTTCTGAGAGTGCCTTGATCACCTCAGACTCACAGCAGGAGGTGGCACTTGAGAAGGAAACACCTGCACATGTGGGAAGAAGAGTACCTCACCAACTAGCTGTGGAGGCTGAATGTCAGCAGCTCAAAGGGCTCTTGGCCTTCGGGACAAGAACATGGAAGGCCCTAAGTCTACATGATAGAGTGAGGGGGTGAGCAGGTCAGATTCTAGGCAGGGAGACTCCTTTTCCAGGGAGGCTTATCTCCTTACCTTGTCCCCCAAGGTCCTAGAAAGGTCCTCTCAAAAAAAGCTAGTTCCAGAGGGGAGGTGTTTCTCTATTTCCATGAGCAGGGTAGTCCTCAGGGCTCATTTAACTGTGTTCACAGAAGCCCTCATCTCAGGGACACTTTGTCCAACATGTCATAGAATCTAAAGACCAAGTGGACTTTTGAGTTTTCCTAACGTAATTACTCATCCTATTCAGTCTCATGTAGCCTCAGTTGTATCCAGGTAACGTAGTTCACTACCATTTAAAGGAGCCGTTTTAGAAAAGTCTTCCATTATACTGAAACGTGTCTATTTCAAACAGTCATCCACTTACCTTAATTCTCCGTTGTGGCCACAGAAACACAAAGTCATATACCAGAACTCTACAGATTCTGTCTCTGACCCTCTTCTGAGTCATCCCTATCTCTTTCCCTAGTTCTGCACTGTACCTCTACTCACCGCTATCTCCTTTCAAGCCTACAAGCTCTCTCACTAGAGAACTTGTGAGGATGGTAGGTGTAGAAGTGGGGTGGGGGGAGACCTGGGTGTGCAGGTGGAGGCAGCCCTGGTTCTACAGCAGAGGGTAAGGCTGGCAGAACAGTGGCGGTGTGGGCTAACCCCCTGGAATGCCGTTCCTGGCTATGGAAAGGAGTACATGCCCTTTCTGATTTAGTAGATTGACCTGGGCTTTGCATCCTGCAAACAAAAGTATCCTACTTAGCACACTCAGCCTCAGTTCTGTGTGGCTTCTCCCCTCCCCCAACTCAGCCCTTCCGTCATCTGGATCTAGAAGTGACACATGCATCTGGGAACCCAATATTCCATCTGAGTCTGTGCAGAGGCACGCAGCCCCTTAGCCCTCTGCAAGATGAGGAGGAGGTCCCAGCCTTTTTTGGCACCCACATCAGTTCAGTGGCACACAGCACAAAACCCAGCAACTTTTCTCACAGGTGTTACTGTTGAGTCAAGCCTTCCCCAGCCACCAAAGCCATTCGTTTGGGAGTCAGGTTCTCTGAGAAGAGCTTAGCAACCACAGCAGCAGCTATAAGACCAGGAAATTTCTGGTACCAACACAGTTATGACAGATGATAAGGTCTAGAAATTTGAATCACTAGAAAGTGTTCTGATCACAAATGTCTCCTAGAGAGCTATCCCTAATCCTAACCCCAAGCCCAGGGATTGAACTCAGGGCCTTGCACTTGCCAGGGAAGCGCTTATTCTACTGAGCCAGCTCCCCGGCCCAGCCTGCCTCTATTCCATCAAACACATTTCTTAGCTTAATGTCCTGAGCTCAGCTCTCAAGCGGTAGTCTTTGGGTCACTGCTATGAGAGAGGCCATGCAGAAAGGTGATTAAAGGCATCAGCATCAGCATTAGAGTTACACCCAAATGCTGCCCCCGCCTCTTATAACTATTTGTGTGGCCTTAGGAAAGTCATTTACTTCTCTGAGCCTCAGTCAGTTAAAAGATGACACCATCACCTACTGTAAAGGCTAAATATTAAAGCAGAAGTATAATACCACGGCTAGTGCATATGATATTGGAGACAGGACACACAGAGACTCCTAGTTCTGCTAGCCTGTGTGTGCCTCAGTTTCTCCTCTAATCACTTTGTGTTCTACACCTTCTTTCTAAGGCCCAGGGTAGAATGAGGAGCCTCAGGATCTGTGTCCACCTCACTTCCTTGGCCCTAACCACACCATCACCCTTTGGTTCTCCTTCCAATCCACTGGCTCATCAAACCTCTGCATATGCCACCTGCTTCCAAACACCTTCCTAGTAGCCCATGGAGATTATCATTACTTCAGCTGAGACTAAGCTAAGTAGATCTTTGTATAGTCATTGCACATAAATCTGCTATTTGGGAAATTTTTCTTTCTCCTAGACATTTGAATGTTTCATGAGACCAGAGAGCCTCATTTTTTCTCCTGTATCCGCCCACGTCTTCTGCAGAGCTGGGAGAGCTAGGCATACAGCAGGTGCTCAACAGATATATAAAAATGGGTTGACTTCTAATCAAAGGCCCTGACTTTGCCTACTTGTGGGAAGGCCCACCCCCTCTTAGCTGCTGCTGCCTTAGGGTTTAATGTTCATACCAGCTCTGCCAGGCTGGATGAAGTTCTAAAATATTTCCAGTCTGGAACACTGAGGACTTCAGGGAATGCCCTGCTGGCAGGTGCCTAGATGTCCTACAGGCCCTTAACCCACCCTTGGATGATTAAAGGTCACATTCTTTCAGCCTGTTTCATGGTGCCAGCTCAGGCATAGGAGGGCTGCCCACAGTGGGAGCTTTCAGATCACTGTGGGAAGGACAATAGCAGCTCTCTCTCTTCTGGGAAGAATGCCTTTCCCTTCCACAGAAGCCTTCTTGGATCCTCAGTGCTGTGAAGGCTGAGTCAGAGCTGGAGTCTGACTACCTACAGGGGCCCAGTGTTCATGTCCAAATGCAGAGGGGGGGCTACCTGAGAGCCTCAGAGTTAGGTAATTCTATGTGGACATGGCTCCCCCACAACCAAACCAAAGAAGCCACTTCTGGCCTCATCAGAGGTTCTGAATAAGTGAATGCTCATTTTTATACGGACTTTCAGTTCTAAACATAGGAAAGAAGAGATCACAATCTTGTGCCCTCGTCCTATATGCCAGAGACCTCACAATTCACAAGAAACTGCACAGAGCCAGAGTTTGAGAGTGTGAGAAGTGGAGCTCTTCTGACTGAGAGTGTTGTCTTCATTTGGGATCCAGATCTGATAAGACTGTGTGGCCCTTGACTTTGGGGTCAATTTCACTCTCAGGAAGTCTAGGCGGGGACCCTGGCACACTCACCTTTAGATCCAGGTATTCCAAGTCTTTCTTCAGCTGAAGGTAGGTGTCATCAGCCTTCAAAGGAAAAGATAGAAAAATGAGAACCAGTTATAATCACCATGGCCTTCCATAATTCAGGGTTTTGAAGTAAATCATTTATACTGAGCAGCTTTGGGGACAAGAGACCACAGCAGAACAACACATCTGGGGCCACAGAGAAAGCACGAATGGCTTGCTGCAGCTCAGTGCACCCTTTGGGCTAGGCAGAGACCATGGGTCACTGTGGGGACAGTCAGCTTGTCTTAGAACTGGCAGCCTGGTGAGGAGGCTCCCGTCCCAGCAGTGCAGCTGAGGATAAAGCTGGGCTCTTAAGGCAGAAAGACGAGGTCTACTTTCAAGAGCACATATTGCACCTAAACTAGAGTCCCATCAGGGACCATGGCTCCAATTCTTGTCATTGAAACTTTGAACAGGGTCAACTTACATGCATGAAGTAAGATAACCCTGATAACAAGGAGATGCCTGAAAGAGGCAGAGAGACGACTCAGGTGATCCTGGTCCCAATGTGACTTTGTACCACCTGTTACAAGTTCTACTCTTTTTGCTCAGCATGAAGCTAATGTGGCCATGTCAAGAGCTAGTTCCAGGGTCAGACCATATCTGCTTGTGGAATCTCTGACAGTTTGTTGACTTCTGCAGGGTTAACTAGTGGAGGCAGTAAAAAGAAGGAAAGGACCAATTCCCTAGAACTTATGCTATTCTACACAGGACATCACAGATGCTAATAGAGAAGCAGAGAGCTGTGAGCGCTTGAGAACAACCTAGGAGCCATGTTCTCTGCAGACTAACAGGGTCTCCTAGTTGGGCAAGCCAGGGCTGGGAAAGGCAGTCCTGCTCTACAGTTCTGATAATTGTACATAAGCCAGGTAAGCAGTTCATGCAGGGCTTTTTAAGCATGAGAAGGCAGAAAGCCCCTTGAAAGGGATGTTTGTGGCTTGCAAGATCTTATTTCTGTCCCTACACTGTCCCCTTATCCATCCCTACTCCACCAATCAGCCCAGTCCTCACTTTTCACAGAAGTAGAAAAACAGAACTGGAGAATGTTATCTAAAAATTACCCAAATATACTCAGTTTACAGTTTTGCACATGCCCTTTTACATTCTTTATGGGGGGGTAGATGGTGGTACTGAGGATTGAACCCAGGTCTTTGCACTGAGATATATCCCCAGTCCTGGTTAGTTTTTATTTTGAGAAGGACTTTTTTTTTTGCGGGGGAGGGGCCTGGCTCAGACTGCCTTAAGAGCAGCTCTGGTAAGGCAGGTGGAGGTGGGGATCGAACTAAGGTATCCTGCACCTGACTGCATTTGCATGAGCAGGCACTTAAACTGATTTAGCTTAACTAAGCTAATGGCAGGCCCCCTAAGTTGTTTTTTACTTTTTTTTTTTTTGCCCCCTAATTTTTTATTTTGAAGCACCCTGAACTTATGATCCTCTTACCTCCACCCCTTGAGCTGCTGGGACTATAGCATGTGCCACTGGGCCCTGCCTACATTCATTTTTTCTGAATAACTTTCCTGAACTCCTCACTAAAACAGGACAAGGAAGTTGACAGTAACATCACCTTTGCATTCTGTCTGTCCCCTGCCTACTAGCCTTGTGTGGCCAAACTTATGCTATCCCTGCCTGAGGACAACTAACTCACAAGAGCTAAACTGCTCTACATGTTTGGAAGCTCAGCCCCTGGCCAGTGCTAAAAGAGCCTGGCTGCAGAGTTCAATGTCCTGGAAACTGTCTAGAGCACTGTGCTCAACAGGAGCTGGATTATGGCTTTACCCTGCATGCTTTTAGCAAGGAATCCAGGCAAGTCCCACCCCCCCGTGGAACCATGTGCCTGTGTGTCCTACCTAATCTTTCCCTGCTACCGTAAGCCTCAACAGGAGAGGAGAAATGAAAGCTCTGCAAGCAGCAGCACTGTCAGGAGTGAGCAGGTACCCCACATTCTCACCTTCAGGCTGACCACCTGTTATCTTTCAGTAACTCACATAGTACCCAACATGACAACAGGCTGATAGCTGGCAGAGTCCTTTAGATGTGACCACACACCAGTCACTTCATACAGCTGGCAATCACTACATATGGCTAGAGAAGCTACAGTTCAGGGCTCTCCCACCCCATGCTGCCCCTGCCCAGACCAACAGGCTGGGCTCTATGACTCCCACACGGTGTCTGGCAACAGCATCCAGAAGCAAACAGGCAAGGGTGAGGGCGAGCCAGACAGCAAAGACAGACCAGCACAGCACAAGAGAACATGGGCCAGCACATCATTCCCCCGTCCCGGGACAGCCCACGGGCGCTGACCTGGCAGGTAGGAAAGGTCAGATGGTGTTGCAGTAACTGGCCCACGGCAAAATTTCGCACACTGGCCAACTTGGCCTGGTGCAGTCGCAACCGGGTGAGAAGCAGTGAGAGCTCCTCCAGCTGCAGGTGTGTAGACACATTGACGGAAATTAGCCACCACAGGGGCACCGCTTTAATTACACTCTGCCCCAGTGCCAAGACAGCACTGACGTGACACCACTATGCAAAGATTGCATTAATTCTGTCATTAGCACAAATAAAAGCACTAGTAACAATTGGCTGCAGGAAAGCTGCAACCACACCCTACTTAAGCTTTACAGGTGGAGTTAACTTATCAAAGAGCAGAAAGAAAGAGAGGAGCTAATAGGAGAGAGTAGTAGGTGTAAAATGCTTCTAGCAAAATCCTACTCAAAGGAGAAGACGAGCCCAACATTCCTCTACACTTCCCAAGTTCTTTACCCAATCTTTACAGGACCAGGAAGCAAACCCCTTTGAGACAGGAATGTGGGCCACATCACATTCACCTGAATGGAGTATGGAGCTGCTTACCGATTTTCCATGTAAACTGGGAGCACTGACAGTGTGGGTCATGTAACCCATGGAGGGCATGGAGCGTCGGTCCATGTGTGAGGAGTTCTAAAGTTGGGGAGACAAGAAGTTGCACTGAGGGCCAGGCACAGAAGCCTCTGTTACTTACCCCCAAGTAGCGCTCTCTGCTAGTTTCCTTATCTGAGCCTGAGACAGCCTGTGAGATGGGCACTCATGGTTTCTTCATTGGAGACAAAACAGTACACTGTGGAAACCCCTGGGAGAGTCAAACTTGACCTAAGTTATTATAAATATCAGAACTGACTGAACGCTGACATCTTGTCCTGCCTTGATGCTGCCAGGAAGCAAATGTTTAGTTGTATGACTTCATGTAAGTAACTCTGTCTCCCAAAGCCTTGGTAAAATGGTCTATGATCACAGCACCTACCTCACAGGGTTGTGCTCAAAATTAAAGTAAACCCCAAGAACTACTTAGGCACTTAAGGTGTTCACTATCACTTAGCCCCAATGCCTCAATCTATGCTCAAACCAGGTAAGGCTCCCAGCACCTTGAGACTGGGCCTGATACAGGATGAGGTCCTCATGCCTTACCTTGATGGCATGGCCCCGTGATTTCCTGGGAGAGGCTCCTAGCGAGATGTCCACACTCCGCCTCTGCTCTGGTGGTTTCACAGTGACACGCTCAGCTGGTGTGTGCGGTCGCCTGGGTGGGAAGACCCTCGAGGGCCCCGGGGGAGGGATGTCTGAGGGTGATGGAGGTACAGAGATGGAGCGGGGAACCTCCAGCATGCTCCTGCTCCTGCCCTGGTCAGCAAACTCGGGGGAGCCGGCGCAGATGGGTGCTGTGGGGCTGCCATGCCGAAACTGCTGGCGCTGCTGCCACTCATAGAGCTGCCACACAGTGCCATCTCGGTGTGCCCGGCGCTCCTCACTTGACATCTTCAGGTGGCTGGCACGGTCTTGTGCATACTTGTAGTCGCTAGGCAGGTTCCGTGGAGGGGGCGAGGAACCCCCTGAGGGGTGCCGGGTGCTCTTGGGAAGAGTCTGGTAGTTTTCTGTGAAGGACAGGGGCTGGCTGGGACCCTGCCGAGGAAGTGTCTGGTCTGAAGGAAGGCTGAGGAGAAAGAACAGGAATGCAGCTAAGCAGATCCAGCATGTGGGGCAGTCCTCTCTTGTCAGACCCTGAAATGAGCTGACACTCAGGGCCCTCCTCACTTCTCTTTACAGAACCAGCTTTCTCTCAGCTCCCTACCAGGTTGACATGGGGGTGACATAGTTGTCAATTCCAGTACAACAGGATTGAAATGCTTCTGCTTTCTACTTCTCCCCCTCTTGCCAGTATTAATAATTTGTATATGTCTAGGAAAGGCCTCAAAATCCTCTCAGTTACCAAGACTTTCTCTCTGTCTGGGATCCTAGTACCAAGGTCTGGAGATTTTTAAGGGAAATGGTTGGTACTGGACCTTTCCTTTTTCTACTACTCCATTGCAGACACTGGTTAATTACCTCTCCCAGACAACTCAGAGACACTACCACTCATTTCCACCATACACTCTACCTCCTCCTCTGACCCAGTCACTACCATGTTTTCAAAACTTCCCTGCCATCTGTAAAGTAAAATCTAAAATCCTTAGCCTAGTACTTGTGGCGCTCTAGAACCAAACCTCAAAGCACCTTGCAGTCCTATAGTTTCTCCCTGTTCCTCCTACCAGGCTGGAGCCAGGCTGGGGAACACCAAGCACCCCAGGCCCACCCCTAAAGGAGGCACCCCTCACAGGCATGCCCACACTGGGTACTTCCTGAGAGTGAGCCTCATCAAGTCCAGCTCAGCCTCTCCATTACTCAGTGAAAAAGCAAAGGTAGGAAGTAGCTGCCCTGGGTTTGAATCCCAGCTCTATCATTCACTAGCTATGTGGCCCTTGCTGGCTTACCGATTGTTCTGAGTCTCACATTCCCCATCTACGATGTAAGGTAGTATTACCTGCCTCACACGGTTGGGCTAGGGTGGGCAAGGTCTCACTATGTAGTTCAGCCTGACCTTCAATTCACTTTGTAGCCCACTATGTAGCCTCAGCCTCCTGAGTGCTGTGATTATAGGCATGTGCCATCATACTTGGCAGTTGCTCTGAGTAGTAAATGACACCAGTAAGGGAAAAGGCCTCTTCGATATGGACACAGAAGGTCCGCTACCTGTGTGCATTCCTTCTCTCCCTCCCTATTCTCAGAACACGGTTCTTGCCACACAGTCCTGTAAGGGTTCCCCTCTTCTAGTTATACAAATCTGACTTCTTCCAGGACAGCAGTCCATGCCTCTCCTACAGCTCTCAGTGTTCCTGTTTAATAGTTACTATACTGTCACTTTCCCAAGGTCCTGTACTGATGTGACCTTTTCATACTTGCAAGACATCTCTCCCCCAGCCAAGCTGAAAATTTCTGAGAGACAACAACTGTGTCTCACACTCTGGTATTGTTCATGGTCTGAGAAAGTCCTCACACATAGCCAGCCCTTCAATACTTACTCCAAGAGCTGCACAGGACTTTCAAAACCACTACCAGCTAACTTTCTGAATATTTAAGAAATTCAGCAAGGGACAAAGGATGAAGTTTTCTTAATAAACTTTAAAAGCATAACCTGGGACAGTATGATATAAAGAGAATAGGCCATGAAGTCAGACAGGCCTGAGTCCAAATCCTGACACTGCTTGTTATCAGTTGTATCTAACTAATTTTATTTAGCACTCATCACATGCCAGCCGTTGTCTATGTCAAGGCTACTCACAATATGGTTTATGAACCAGCAGTTTCCCTACCACCTTAAAAATGCAGCCGAGTGAAATGGGGCAGGTATGGAAAGACAGACACTATACGCCCTCACTACAGCTCATACAAGCAATGAATGGTTACCAAAGGGTGGGGGACAAGAAGGGAGGGATACCGTCAAAGAGTATGAAGTTTCAGTTAAATAGAATAATTTTATTTTTATTTTTTATTTTTTTCTGTATTTTAAGGAAGGGTCTACAGGGTGTTCAGGATCTCACTACTAGATCAGACTTGTAGTGATTCTCCTGTTTACAGCCTCCAAAGTGCTGGGATTACAGGTGTGTGCCACCATGGCTGGCCCCAGGATTGAACTCCTGGCCCTTGAGCCTGCTCGCAGGTACTTTAATCTGCTGCGCTATGTGGCCAGCCGAGAAAGAATAATTTTAGAGCTCCATTGTACAATATGTTGATTATAGTTAACAACAATATAGTATATGTTTCAAAATTGCTCAAAAATATTTTAAGTATTCTTACCACAAAAAATAAGTAGGCAAAGTGGTAAATACTGATTAGCTTGATTTAACCATTCCACAGTGTACACATATATCAAAATTTCACATTTGGGGGCCGGTGAGATAGCTCAGTGGACTAAAGTGCCTGCTTAGGCAAGCACAGGGACTGCAGTTCAATCCCTGGCACCACTTGCCATGCCGGCCCTGCCTCCAGGGCAGGCTACAGAGTCTGGGCATAGTGATACATGCCTGTAATCCCAGTGCTAGGGAGGTTGAAAAACAGAAGGATCACTATGAGCCTGAGCTGTGTAGTGAGACCCTATAACAACCAAACACATTAAAAAAAAACAAAAACAAAAACAAAAAACAAAAACTTCACAATTACCCCTTAAGTACATATAATAATTTTCAATTAAAATATATTTTAATAGCAGATTTTTCAGCCCCATCACAGACCTAGGAATGAGAAATTCTTCAACTCAATCACCTATGTTTTAAAAATCCTCGCACATGATTCTGACACTCCCTAAAGCTGAAGAAATACTCTCTTATATTCAAGCCATTTAATCACTTCTAGCTGTCAGACCTCAAGACGTGTCATTTCTGTCTGCAGTCTCAATTGCTTTCCTATAAAATGGGGAAATAACCACTTAACAGACTGTTGTGAGGATTAGAAGTAAATGTTTTTCAAAATACACCCGCTCTCCATGGGCAGGAGGAAATTTTAAGATCTCTTTAGCCCAGACCTGTCCTGTATGCCAAGTGTGTCTGCTTGTCACTAGGTGGCAGAGCTTACTTCCTTTTTTTTTTTAATAATTTTATTGAGGACAAACAGCAATAAGACAGTTTCAAAAGCAATTATTAACACAGTTTCAATAATTAATACATTGCATATTGTTGTCTTAGTGGTTATTCATTGTACAAGATGCAGATATCATATCCTGTCCACAAACACTATTAGAATAAATCTCTCTATCTGTTTATCAATAAAACTTTGAAAAAAAAAAAAAGAATAAATCTCTCTATTCATTGAATTAAGAGAATGCAGCTGTATATCTATCCTAACTATTTTGAGTGTACAGATACAAAATGGTCAGAGCTTACTTTCAATCTCCCAAAGTCCAACAGCAATGTGTCTCTGGGGTGGAGGCTGCCACCACCTGAACCCTCGTGTAGGGGTGGCGGGAGGGGGAAAGGTCAGGACATAGCTTCCCCTAGGAAACACAGGATTTTACTAACCATTGTTCATTCTGCACGAAGCAAAACGCACAGAATGCAAAGCATTTCCCACACACTCCTACCCTCTGCCCCTTCCATCTGGCTCTGCAACCCACTCTGGATGCCTCCCTGTATGCTGGATTCTGGACAAAGTTCTGCACCAAACACTGCCCCCAGACACTCTGAGGTCATCCTCTAGCCTGCACCCTCCACTTCTGCACTGTCTGACACTTGGGTGACCCTAAGGACCCAGGACAATGATGAGCTCTGGCCCCAGGAGACAATCTACAATAAGTAACCAATGACAGAGGTAGGGACATGGGACCTGAGGAACAACTCCCAGAGGAGCTCTGTTCCATGGCAGATCCAACTGCTGGTCCAAACTCCAGCATTACCCAAAAAGAGGTCTCAAAAGGCACTAAAAGGATATTGTAGTTTAGATAGCATAAATATGGTCATATCAGGGGATACAATCATTTTTGTAACCAATTATTTATGCAGCATAAACTTGAATTTCCATCATGCAAGGGCTTACATCCCACTCTGTCTCTTTCTGCTCTGTTACTCTGTTTGAGTAACCCTGTTCAGGCTCCACTCCCACCTTATTTACGGGGGGGGGGGGGCGCGGAGAGGGAAGGCCAGAATTTCAAAACAAGCTTTTAGACTGTGATAAGAATCTAAGAGTATGTCATGATGTGAAATATATTTATCTCTGAGCACTGAAAGAACAGTTACAAATAATTCCCTGTGTGAGCTAAAGCTGAGAATACAGGGTATTTCAGCCCAAATACCTCCTTTCAATATTGTTATCTGCTCAGTCTACTGCTAATGAGATTAGCAGTCTTAATTATACACATAACAGAGACCTATCATCTATGCTTTCAAGTGGATATTGAAGAAGTTCCTTTATTATGCAGCCAGATCTACTTATCACTTACTGAAAGTACCAATGTATCTTTAAGGAATCTAGGAATATAAAATGCAGAGCTTTTAAGAAGCTAGTACATCAATCCCTGGTACCGCAAAAACAAAACAACAACAACAAAAATATAGTAAAAAATCAGAGACCTAGCACTGTGTTGAGAGATGGACAGCACTTCTTTTATGTTCTGCCTTCATTTCTTCACTTTCGTTTACTTTTTAGACTACAGAAATTTGCCTACCCCACTAGCCTGAAATTCCGCTAGTTCATGCCAATGATCTACACAGTCAATGAACTGTTTTTCCCTACAGATCTGACGTTCCTCTGTCTTCAACTAAGAGTGGCTCAAATTCCTACCTCACATTCTACGGAAAAGCCACGGCCCTCCCTAGCCACCTCTCACCTCCTTCTGGACTTCTTATGCTTCAGCTCCCTGATGCACTCTCCCCAACCCCCAATAATACAGCAGAATCACACAGGTTGTGTGGGTTGCTACAAATGGTCATGTAGAGACACTTCCCAACCAATAACTTCTGTATCAGTTGGCCTTGTTTTAAAAGTCCTGTCACTGGCTATGTCATCTCACTCTAGATTCTTCTCTTCCCATGACTAAGTCGCTTGACATCACTCTGAAATTCTAGCTTTATTAAAGGTGTCCATATAGGTCTGCTCATCCAAGTCCAGCAAGAAGCTGAGCAGAGGAAAAGACCTCTGTTGGGACCAAAAGGTCAGGGAAGTCTGAAGCACCAAACTTTTCTTCAGTGGTGCCCACCTCAGAAGGCACCAAACTCCGGAGGAGTCTTTATCCGCAGCACCTTACACTGCTGATTACGTTTCTTCCAACAGAACTTTGCCCCAGGGCCAGGGATATAACTCAGCAACTCAACACCTGGCTGGCAAGTGTGAGGCTCTGAGTTTGATTCCTGGTACCAAAAAACACAAAACAAAACACAAAAACTTCTGTCCCAAAGAACATTCCAATCCCCCCACCCCCACCCCCGCCGCCATTTCCTTTAAGGAGCCTTTGCTTTTTTCCTAGGCTTTGGACTGGGGATTCCCAGAGTTCTGTCTGGTCCCTGTTATTATTTACAGAGTTAGGGATTTTCAACTCTACCCTCACCTTAGAATCCCTAGAGAAGGAAAAATTTCACTTTTTAAAAGTCCTGCAACCCAGATCAAGGGAAGATTTCTGGGCTTGAGAAGCTTCTAAACCCCTCTTGGTGATTCCAATGTGTAACCAAGCAAATTTCCAAACTGGTGGGATTATCCAAGTGACTTTTAGGAAATATAATGCTTTGACCTCACCCCAGACCAATTAAACCAAAGTGGAACAGGGTCTCTAATGATCAAGTTCTACAACCAAGATTAAGGCCCACGGCCCAAAGAACTCTATCCTGGACAATTACCTATTGCCAGGGCATAGTTACCCACTCCAGGGCCATCATTCCCACATCTCTACTACCTGTATCCACAATCTATGACCTACTTGGTCATCTCCCAGACACGTACCATATTCCTTACCAAGCTTTCTTTTTCTTTTTTTTTTTGGCGGAACCGGGGATTGGACTCAGGCCCTTGCACTTGCCAGGGAAGCGCTTATTTCACTGAGCCTTCTCCCCAGCCCTTCCTTACCAAGCTTTCATTTCTGACCTGAGCTAATACAAGGCATCACACTTACCTTTAGCCAAGTGAAACCTCAACACTACCTTGTACTCCACCTTAGCCCTCCTGACTTTAACATCCAAAAATAAAACTTTTTTTTTTCATTTTTAAATTGTATTCTGTTTATTGGTTTGGTTTCATTTTTTAAAAAATAATTTTATTGAGAAACAAAAAGCAATGAGACAGTTTCAAAACTGATTAGTAGGAGAGTTTCAGTAATTAATACATTGTATATTGTTATCTTCTTAGTAAAAATAAAAATTCTGATTGTCCCCAAGCCTGTTCCTTCCTTAACCTTTGCCATCCCACCAGCTACCAGTTTCTCAGGTCAACACACTAGGGATCATCTTATTCTTCTCTTGCTTCCATTCTGATATCTAGAGCTCTGACAAACTCCACTACTTCAAAGTCCAAAATAACTCAAATCTGTTTATTTTACAGCCTGGACTACTACGGTAGCCTCCTCCCTAGGTTCTTACTTTCTCTATGAATATTAATCCTATTACATCACTTATTTGCTTAAACAGTCAAGTAGTTTCCCCTATTGGTTTTTGTTTTTTTTTTTTTCAGAACCAGGGATTTATTGTATTTTAAAATAACATTCAAATGCCTTACTTTGGATTTCAAGGACCTACTACAATATCAATAGTGAACTATCCAACCTCACTCAGCAATGGATCTTTGCAGCCACCTGCCTGGGAATGACCTAGCTCAGCACCAAAGACAGCCACTTTACTCCTCTGTGTTTTGTCACAGTAGCTTTCTGTTTTCAATAAGACACCAAAGTTGAAAACAGCATCGATACCTGGTCATTCCTAGCTGGGCAGGGGAAGGCTGCTTAGCTAACACACAAAAGGCTTTCCCTTTTTTTTTTTTAATTTTATGTGTGTGTGTGTGTGTGTGTGTGTGTGTGTGTGGCTAGCTCAGCCCATCAGGGGGTGGGGCTGGCTGGCATGTGGGGCTGGGGGATTGAACCACGGTCCCTGTGCTTTCCTGAGCTTGTTCTAAGTAGGTGCTTTAGATCACTGAGCCATCTCACCAGCCCTTTCCCTTCTGTTTAATACTCAGCAATGTCTCTCAGTGGCTCAGGAGGTTCTGATAATAACTACTCCACTATCCATCCTCATGACTATCCAGCTGGCCCAGATTAAGGATCACAGCATCCCACATGTGCACGCTACGCCTACACATCTGAAAGAAGGCCTGGGCTATTCTTTGAGGAAAACTGCTGCCTCCAGAGCCACAGGCCGAGTCTGGCCCTCAGACAGGGAAGTATCAGGCCTGCTGCACTCTCAACTGAGCTCTGGTCCACCCACAAGAGCTATACCAACTCCAGAGGGTTTCTGAGTGCCCAGGGGTCTTCTCTAGTCAGTGTTTTGTTTCAAAAGGTTATGGATGGTAAGCAAGTCGCCGTATCTTCATACTGAAGACAAAACATGGTGGCTTCTAGGGACAACAAGGCAGCCACGACCCTGAAATCTTCATAAACCTAATTAATCTAAAACTATAATAAAATACAAGCAGTGTTTTGCAAATAGCTAGAGATACATCCCTTCTAAATAGTTAAAGCCACTTCTTTAAGGAATGGACTTAATGAAGCCTAATGTCAGCAGTCTGTGAGCATTTCTAGATGCACCTGGAATTCAAAACTAGACCTGTGTTTACTATAGTTCCTACAAAGAATTCTCAGCTGCAAAGAAGCAGTAGCATAAGTGGAGACCAGCCCCTATTCCACACTCAGTGTCTCAAAGTAGCCTCTGAAAGGAACAGAGATGCCTCTGTGTAATCTCCCACAGGCTTTGGTGGCTCACAGAACGGTTTGAACTCCTACTCTGCAACTGATCTGTGTGCTCGGGACAGATTCTGTCACTTCTCCAAGTCCCACTTTTTCAGTCTGTAAGTTAGAAATCTCATCCCTCCTTCAGGACTGTGCCGAAGATTCACATAGATAACAGAAGTGAAGGGTTCAAGGCCTCCATTCACCCAGTAAGTGCTGGGAAATGACAGCTACTATTACTGCACCATCAGCAGGCTCCAAAGTACATACACTGACCTCCTGCCATCCGCCTTTGGGTTCTTCACCCATTGCTCCATCTGGGCCAGGCCGCTCTTCCTCTGGCTGTGCTTCTCTGTGGTGGCTCTGGGAGGAAAGGCCCGAGGGTACCCGCCAGTACCATTCTGTTCTCCAGGGCCATAAGAGGTGGGCAGCATGCCATTCTTCTCTGCGTGCTGCGGTTGTGCCTGCTGGCCTCTTGGGCCACTGGGTAAATCCACAAACAAGGCATCCTCCTCCGTGGGTGAGTATGGGGACCTGGCCTTGCTCCTGTCCCTCTTGCTCTCCAGCAGGTCCCTCTGAGAATGGTATTGCTGTTCTTCCTGCTCCCGCCTCTGAAAGCCAACAGAGTCATCGTGGCTGCAATGAGGACAACTCCTTGAGTGTCCAGGTCCCACATCGCCACACTCTCGACAGGACTCTGTATGGTTGGCCTGAGGCACCGCCTGCCGCTCCACTTTTTCCAAATCCCTGCAACAAGAGAAACACACTCAGTCCACTCTACAACCACTTTCCCCAGTGAACACATTTCCCACATACTCGCCTTTGACTGGGATATTCTCTCCACCTGTAACACCTTCCTGTCCAGTCCTTTAGCCTGCTGCCTACCTCCTGGTACTCTTTT